GGTCATGAAGTTTGAACACTGCTGGCTGCTATAACTAACGTCTCCAGAATAGCAAGGACAACAAAGGCATCCATTTCAAGTTTTGCTGTTTGTTTTGAGTAGGTCTGACTCATTCTGCTTTTACTAGTGCCAAAAAACCAACGCCTTCAGGTGAACAATCTTGACTGAAGTAACTACTCAACTGGCACAACTACATAGTTTCTGCTGGCAGCAAAATGAATGCTTAAGACTTCTTTTGTGATTGAAGCTTTATACCCAAGGCTGGGCATTAAGCTCTTCCAAGTGCTTGCCTTTCAGGTAGGGCTGCACGATAAATCGCATGCGATATTTAACGCGCATCTTGTCAGTAAAGCCGGTTCTTTAATCAGCGGTAAATCTCCATCACCTGCGGGCTTTCACATGGAGCAGCATTAACTACACAGAGCCGTTGTTCACCGACAAGCTGCGCAAAACCACGATCATATTTTGCGCATGTTTTGCGCAGCTTGTCGATTTATCGTGCAGCCCTACTTTCAGGCAACTAAAACGGACCTTTTATGTACCAAACCCTTTTTTCCCCAACAATATAGTGTATGGCTTAAACACATAAAACTACTATAAAAATGGGATTTGAAGAAAAGAAGAATTTTTTTTTTAACATTTTTTTTAAACATAAAAATCTTTTGTTTTTATTTACACTTTAATCAGTTTTACTTGTCAAACTGCATATTTTCACATTTAAGGTCACTGTATTCCATTTTCCTAATATTTGTAACATTAAATCATTTAAAAAATGGTTTGGGACAAGTGATGTAAAAGCTAAGCTTTACAAATGAACCAAACTGTACATTATAAATGAACCAAACTGGACCACAAACTACTTTCATATTGACCATGGTACTAAATTTTTACCATATGTGACCCTGGACCACAAAACCAGTCTTAAGTCGCTTGGGTATATTTTTAGCAATAGCCAAAAAAAAAAAAACATTGTATGGGTCAAAATTATCTATTTTTCTTTTATGCCAAAAATCATTAGGATATTAAGTAAAGATCATGTTCCAAATTTCCTACCGTAAATATTTCAAAACTTAATTTTTGATTAGAATCTGCGAAATATTGTCCGATCCTAACAAACCATACATCAATGGAAAGCTTATTTATTCAGCTTTCAGATGATGTATAAATCTCAATTTCGGGAAATTGACCCTTATGACTGGTTTTGTGGTCCAGGGTCACAAATTTGTGTACCACACTATTTACATTCAATGTGTTTGCAAAAAATACCATACAAATACCGTGGTACATGGTACGTGTTGGTTTGAACTTACGCCTCTGGAGAAGGTTCTGGGCTGTGGGCTCTGAGTCTTTATGGCTCCCATTACACGGGACACCTGCAAAGACAATTTCAAAGATAACAGATCAATAACACTGGAAGACAAATTTAAGCTGATACTCCCTGATACACAAAGCCCAAACCATATATTAAAATGCAAGCAAATTAACCATGCTTTAAAAAAGCGCTGTGTTTAATGCGACTGCCACTATGGCTGATCTTCACCGTGGCTCTTTGCAAACAAGCACACAGCAGCTAAAGCAGTTAATTAGACTGAGCCAGACTTAAAAGACTAAGTATGATCCCATTAACTCTGCATGCAAACTTTTAAGTGCTTTTGAACACAATGCGGAAAGTGCAATTAAGGCAACAAGCATGTAAAAGGTGAATTACAGCAGGGATCATCCTGAGGTCAAAAGATTAAACAAATACAAACCAATTAGTTGTGATTAAATGGGAGTTATTAAAAAGGAAAGGACTTATCCCTGGTGTAAAATGAGGGGTGTAGTTTCACAAATCTGCAAAAGTTGAGTTTAAATCAGCCTAGAACATTAAGGCTACTGGTCACTGATGATCACACACAAATGAGAAGGATTTTTTTTAACAAACCCCTCAAAGAAGACAGCAGATCTGATGGGGACATTACTTGTTTTTGTTTTCCACAAAGCAATGTGTACTGTGAGAGAGTGGTGCCATAAAACTGTGAAGCAAGATATGTGGCCTAAAAAAGCATTTGGACACTTTGCCAATTTTTTTTTTTATTAATCTCCATTCAGAATGACACTTAAATATGACTGTGTCACTGCAATAGATAACAAAATATCCAATAATATCCAAATATCTAAGACCCAGCACACTTTTCTCTTTTCAACCCAAAAAGAGGTTTAATAGGTTTTAACTTCAGTTACACATACATACATGTATGTATGTACATTCAAAATTTAGACATTTGTAAGTATCACAACACCTTTTATTTGTCACCTCAGGCACCTTCTTACCTCTTTGGTAAGAAAATGACTTTAGTTTTGAGGAAAGATCTAGTATTTCTTTTTCTTCTTTATTTTTTTTCTCCCCCAATGACATTCATACATTTCATGCAAGGCTTTAAGAGTCCAAACACATTTGGGGCCACTGTATATCTGTGGAAATGATTCCCCCATCATTTACATCTATTTTATATTTCATTCCTCCAATACTAGTAAAACGAATCTAAACTACATCACAACCCATAGATTATAGGTAAAACAGCAGTCTGAATGACACAAAAGGTTCTTCTGCATCTTCTCATGTCTTATCACTTATATTCATGTTTCTTTTCCTCTTCTAGAAGAACATTCAGTCCATAATGGAAGTCATAAATTAAGTCTCTGGTCTAGTTTAGTCTTGACATCAGTCAACTCTTGTTCACTAAGCCAACATGTCGAGGTGACCTTCGTCCACCAGATTGGTTGGTTAGTTAGCGTTAATGGTTTTCCTTGCACATTTAAATCAGCTGTTTTACTCAACTCATTTCTAAACTCTATTTCTCCCTGACTATTTTAATGTCCATGTCAGATTTGCCATCTTTAATGACTATAAACCACTGCGCGCTAGCAACTGAGATGCGCGTCTTACTTCCGGAGCCGAGCTCGCGTCACTTATCCGCACGCCGCATCTCGCGAGAAGTTTTAGGAGCTGAAAAAGCAAGAATGTAGTTTTAAATTTCATAACCTGACCTTACTGTCCTCCTGGTTGAGTCTGCATACTATTTGGGGGTATTACGCACAATAATGTGTGGATGGTGAGGATGACTGCAGAGGTTGAACATCTGTGGCGTTTGCCTGAGGCGTGATTCATTCACGAGATTAATACGCATCGTGTCATTCTCTTAACTACATTTATATTTGTCAAAAGACTAGTAGATGAGTTGACTGAGAGCTGTTAAATGTGTTAAACGTGTAAGTGCCGGTGTGAAGGACATGCAGTACAGGGCCGCAAGCTAAGTATATACTTGCATTCATACTACACAGTCATATTTGGCAAAACACAGCACAGATTGCTATGATCTGAGGTTTGTCATGTAATGTAGTTCTTACCGTTGACCTCCACGCGTTTCCAGCCATCCTGTGCTAATCGTGTTTAGGCGCCTTCTCAATGCAGCTCTTCGGACGGTGTCTCATCCTCTACTATGAGTATCTAGGGTTGCCAGATTGTAACTACACTACTAGGATGCTATGCGTTGCCTTACCGGCAGGGTTTTCAATCTCACGGACCCCCAAATATGATAATCCAAAAGGCAGCTATTTTCATGTAAATTTTTTTTTTATTCTATCTATCTATCTATCTATCTATCTATCTATCTTTATTTATTTAAAATTTGACAATGATTTGCTAAATAAATAAATAAAATAACAGACCTCCAGCACTACTAAGGTGCGTTTATCTTATGAGATTTCAGCGTTTAGAAGATGCAGGTGTAGTTTTTTATTTTTTATAAATTTTGTTATTAATTCACAAATGTTTCCAACAAGTTACAACTGAGATTTGCTTATCAACATGCAAGACTCCCAAAAGGGGGATTTTCTTAAACTTGGCAACTATAAGCCCACTTCTCTGCATTCGGTTGTGAAGACATGCTGAACGCTGAACTCCCCCTACTGCACCGGATGCCACAGTACATTTTCGACGAAAATACGTTAAAAAAAATCCCCCCTTTTCATTGCGAACCGTGACTTACCCCCCTCAGCTTCAAAACGAAATCATTTTTGTTTTAGTGATTGAATTTTAGGAAAGTAAAGAATTCACGAGGTGGGTAAGTTTTACATTTGTTACCTGTATTGACTAGGCCCATTCATGTAAAGACCAGAAGACGGAGTTGTTTTTCTTGAATGTGTTCAGAACAATATTTTATACCTTGTGAAATACTAGATGTATTCACTCAAAACTGAAAATTCTTACACCATTCAGATCATTCTGCCTGCTATATTCAATGGAAGAAAGAACGTCTTTGTTTGGAGCAACATGTGGGTGAGTAAATGAGGACAGAATGTTAATTTTTTGGGTAAACTAGCACTTTAACCATAAAACTCTGACACTTTTTAATAAGCAGCTTTTTTACATTATCTGTAGGATTAATAAACATAGACACGAGGACATCTTCTGGCATGAATGTACTTTATCCAACAAAATGTAAATACAAAGATGCAAAGCTGATCATATATCATACAATTTAGATGTATTCTAAAACAAAAAGCTGCTTGAGCGAATAAAAAGAAACAATATAGTATGAAACAAGCGATTTAAAAAGCATCCACATTAGGCATACAATAAAAAGGCAAAAAGCATTCACTAAAAATTGTAAACAAGAAGAGCAACATGGGAAAGCTTCAGAAGTGGTTGAAAAACAATACAAGTGCTTCACCATTACGAAATATACAAATAGCAGCATTTTAAGCATAACATTAAATACAGCATTGTGTTAGGAGTGCAAAGAGGAATTGTCTTGATTGTGAACCTCCTGAGACAGTGATCAAATCGGATTAGGTGTAACTACAGTATTGGTCTCTCTAAACGGTGGAAAATCAGAAAGAACTCAAGTGTAGTTACAAAAACTAAACCCTCACACTGCAGGCAACACGGAGCATTTTGGATTTCTGGCACCGGTGATGCATCAAGCTTATGGACTTTTAAAAAGACATAGAAAAAGCTGTGGAAAAAAACATATGCGTTCTTATGGAATGAGATCGAGAGATTCCCAGATTTAAACGGCATACTGCTTTGGTTGGTTCTTGAAGCTGATGGTCTGTTCGTTTTGTGAGATCACGTGGGCTGCTCGACTGTTCAGCAGCCTGCATTCATGGAGAACATCTGTTGAGATGATTACCAAAAAGATGTTAAATTAGGGCTTTGGAAATGTGACTGCTGATGTGTTTGAAGAATGGTTTAGAAAGTGGTTTTGATTAATGAATGAAGATGATTTTAGTCCATACCACTGAATTGTTTATAGGCTTCATCAACTATGGCATTGTTTGACCTCTTTATCTCCCAAAAGCCATCATCCACCCAAGGTTTGGTCTCTGGCAACTCAGGCAGTTGGCCATTTTTATACATGCCTGCTACAAATAAATAAATAATAAGTAATAAATAAATAAACAAACAAACAGAGAAAATAATATTAAAAAGCAATTAAATAATGTCATTAATAAAATATATTACTTCATATTAAAAGTGCTTTTAAACATTGGATTAAAATAACATCTATTTTAATATATTTTAAAATGTAATTTATTCCTGTGATGCAAAGCTGAATTTCCAGCATCATAACTCCAGTCTTCTATGTCATATGAATCTTCAGAAATCATTCTAATATGCTGATTTGGTGCTCAAGAAACATTTCTTCTTATTATTATAATTATCTCTGTTAAAAAGATTTTTCTTTTAAATATTTTTGTGGAAACTGCTATAAATTTTTTTTTAGGATTTTATTGTACTAACCCTAAACTGTTAGTACAGTTGGAAGTGTATTTTTAGGGCTGTCAAAGTTAACATGCACTAATTAATCAAACATTTGATGCAAAAAAAAAATGTTTATATCATTACAGTTGTTTAAGCGTGATATTACAATATACACAAAATTGCATGACATAAAATAATACACAAGTGCATTGAATTTTTCTCTTAAAATCTATTAAATGACAGGATTAAAATTCCAGCAAATACTTTTAATAGTATCATCAATATCTTTGCATAGTTGGTATAAGTCACTTCCACGTCCCACCACCCTTTCACCTGAAATGACACGTTAAAAGAGAATTTGATAACTTGCTAGACTGAGTATAAAATGTAATGCACAACCGCATGTGAAATAACAAAAAATGTGTTTAGCAAAATTCCATTAAAAACTCACCATCCAACACTTTCATGTTTGGGAAATTTTCAAGAATAAGAGTCCGGTATGATAAATTCTTGCAGACTGTAGCAAAATAAATTAAGGACCAGATTTAGAGCTCCAAAATCATTTGAATAAAAAAAAAACAGAAAACCACTAACCTGGATTGGTATAATTATAGGTGTTGTCCTTCAGTCTGATGCTCTCCAGCTTCTTTAAAGACTTCAGTGCATGAAGATTATCAACACTGTAGGTGCAATGCATCATGTGTGACATAGAAAGGTGGATAGGAAAGCAGATACATATGAGTAGCTAAAAAGGCTGCTTACCTCAGTATCACATTGCCAGCAACATTCAAACTCAGTAAACCTTCACAGCTGGAAAGAGGTTCTGAGAAGAAACATGTTCAACTCCGAAAGTCAGATATAATATCACAGATATATAATCACATTAAAGGAATAGTTAATGAAAAAAAAAAATTTTTCAGGACACCAAGATATTCATTGGAACAGAAATGTAGCATTACATCACTTGCTCACCAATGGTTCCTCTGCAGTGAATGGGTGCTGTCAGAATGAGAGTCCAAACAACTGATAAAAACATCACAATAATCCACAAGTAATCCACAGTCAATCAGTTGACACCTTGAGAAGTGAAAAGCTGCATGTTTGTAAGAAACATATCCATGAAGATGTTACTTTAAACCTTCAATAGTCCTCTATCCATAATAGTGTTTTCTCCTGTGAAAAACAACAGTTGTAAACAATTATGTTTGTGGATTTTGATGTTAGAGGACAACAGGAGATGGACTTTTTCACTGGAGAAAGCATTATTATGCATGGATTATGGACTCATATTCTGGCTAGAAGCAAACTTTAAAGTTAAAACGTTAGTTAAAGTAAAGTTAAAGTTTTCCCTTAATAAAATGTTAATTGATGGACTGGAATCCATTATTGTGATGTTTTTATCAGCTGTTTGGACTCTCATTCTGACGGCACCCATTCACTGCAGAGCAATTGCTTTATGTGAGCAAGTGATGCAGTGCTAAATTTCTCCAAATTTCTCTGCTTTGAAGAAACAAACTCATCTACACCGTGAATGGCCTGAGGGTGAGGAAATTTTCAGCTAATTTTCGTTTTTGTTAGAACTATTAAATTAAGATTGAAATAACTATTACCTAAATTAGAGATTCTGTTGGCTGACAAGTTAAGAACAAGAAGTCTCCGTAGAGGTGAAAGAGGCCCCAGATTTGTGATGTTATTTCCAGAGAGGTCCAGCCTCTCCAGGTTTATACAGTCTCCTATACATCCAAGATCATAAATTCCTGCAAAAACACATGCAAGATTGTGTTTTTGTGTATTTCGAGAATGTATTCTGCAGACAATAAAATCAGTATCATCTTACCTAAATTCCTAAGCTTAAGAAACATAATGGACTCCAAATCAAACTCCCCGGTGCGGGACTTCAGAAGCACAGTGGTGATCTTTGCACATTCTGTTTCTGGAATATGAGGAGAATGAGTGAGATTATACTTTATGCAGCATTATACTTCATGCAACTGAGGGGAGATTATAAATGTGGCTCTCCATGATTCCAAAGGTTCAAACGGTGATCACCGTTTTAATCTCGCTTTATGTGTGAACTCTCAAAGACCGGATTACAGCTGCAGATCTCCTCTAGGTTTAATTTAATGCCCAGGAAGGTTTTTTTTTTTTATTCAAAACATTTTATCACTATATATTAGGGATATAACGATTCACTCAACTCACGATTCGATTCACAATTTTGATTTCACGATTCGATTTGATTCTCTTTTTTTTTTCTTTTTTTTTTTTTTTCAAAATGAGATTTAAGACAAATTATAAATTAAATGT